GTGCACACTGCTGACCTTCAGAAAGGAAAGGGCTCCTTGCCAGCCCTGTGTGCTGGCTCTGCCCTTCAGTGAGCAGTTCCATCCCTTTGCTCTCTCCTTTCAGGGTCTCTGCATATTCCCAGACACTCCTCTGACATCCACCACCCCATAATGATACTTTCTCAGTTACCTCACCATCTCAAAAGCTTTGATGCTCTCTTGTTGAATATTTTCTATAGGATAAACAAAGTATCAGACCCCAGAAACCTAAACAAGCTTCTCAACTGAGTGCTCAAAATGTTAGGAAATTTAGAAAATCCCAACTGTTGAGGGTTCAATACCAACCTCAACTCTGGTCTCACATTTCTATAAATTTTCCAGTAGAATGTAGAAATCTCCACGAACATCCCATGCCTTCCCTGCTGTACAGATGAACTCCAATAGCTGCTCTTCACATKTTCCCCCTTCCTGCCCACACCTAGAATAAAAGTTCTCTAACTGTTCTCTTGTTACACTGGRTGGGGGGTAAAAAGSTGTTTTCTTAGCTGAAAATGACTGRCTTGGGTTAAAATACAGTATATGTTGGGTTAGCAGATGGCAATCCTTTCTGGAATTTCCATTGGGTCTGTCTGAAGCAGCAAACCCGAGCTGCATTGTCTTCATTGCTATTTTAACCTCTGCTAGCAAGCCTGGGCCAACCACCCACGTTCAGAGMCAACCTTTATTTGCAATATAAACAATACCCATGTCACGATGGATAAAGGGCAGATCGGTGGGATTTCGTATGGAAAAAGACAACTGCTTTTGCCAGCCACTGATTCCTAATAACCACATGTCTTCTATTAGTGTCCTAAACGAGGAGGTGGGCTGTGTCTTGGGGGGGTTTAATGACTGACCAGAGAAAAGGAGCTGAAGAGAAGGAGGATTCTGGTTCCCTGCGCTCTCAGCTCAGCAGGGAGGCCCCTGTGCACTAGAGAGAGAAGCTCCACTTTCATCTACATGAAGAGAAACCAGAAGTAAAGGTCCCTTTCAGGAGGGATAAGGGGTCTCCTAGAGAGCACTGAAGGAACAGACTGGGAGGGAGAGGATTTCAGATCACAGAGGGGGTTGATGCAATGACTTGCTTCTCAAACACAGAGTGAACAATCTTCTGCTTAATCTARATACAAGTGATGAGTTGTAGGAGTGGTGAAAATGGCAAATAAAATCTAGGAAATTGCATATAAAGAGGAATTGTTGTTATTAAATCATTTAGCAYGGATGTGTTTCAAATCCAGCTCACAGTTGAAGCCGTTTTACAGCTATAGCTGCGGAGTTTTAACAAAATTGCAGAATTGCAACGTGTCTGCCAGGGATTTATTTTAAGGATTGTAGGGTAGTTACATGAATGAACTTTGATAGACTCAACATGTTGTTGTGATCTGAACCCTTGAGTGATCTCCACTGCAGTTTGTGTACWCAGGAACCAACAACACGTGTGCATTTGTGTGCATTTGTGTGCACATGTGCAAACATGAGATGCAAAAGGGGCACACACATGTGCAGGGCTGCTCCCAGCTCCACACAGGCTCTCCACAGACTGCTCCTGCAGGACAATGGCACATTTCTCAACCTTAACATCACCGTGTTCCTTTTCTCTTCTCTTCTCCCCAGAGATCTCTTGTTTCCTCTGATCTGCCTCTGTGTGTGTAAGAAAGGAAAGGCTGCACTGCCCAGCACACTGCTGGTACCTGATCTCACTCCAGGCTTTGGGTGCTAATCCCACCAGCTCTTATCTGTCCTTCTGGTGCCTGTGGGTGTGGGGTGTCTGTACAGACATGCACACACATCTCATTGCCCTGGCTGCCTTCCCTGTCCTGCTCTGGACAAGAAGGAACAGCATTTTGGTCAAGCTGGCTCCACAGCTCAGCTGCCAACATGAGCTCCCACCCTTTTCTCCAAAACTAGATATTGCATTTCTGCTTTCAGTACATCAGCTGTCAATCTAGCAGACCAAAGACCCTTGTTCCCTGGTGTTCCAGTTCTCCTCACTGTGGGAGGAAATTCTCCACCAGAATTCAGCTACTGAAGCACAGCGAAGGAGAGATTATTTTTTAATTTTTTTTTTCTTTGTCTACTTCCAGCAGATAGTTGGAGCACTTATCCTGAGCATAAATAATGAGCACTTCTGAAAACACTGGTTCTAAACTTGCGGAGATCAAACTTCTCAAACAGCCTCAATGGTTTTAGAAATTCTGTTACCTCCTTGGCTCTGGAGAATGGGGCATGTGCTAACACTCACTTGATGGCCTCAAAAATTCTCCTTGACTGCAGGGATAAGTCACAGAGTAGAATGCTCTTGATGGTCCAGGGAAGGACAGCACGCCCTTATGAACACAAAAATTATAAACACTTCTACCTCTGGAAAAATCTCTAATTCATCAGTAATGTTTCAATGGAATAATGCCCATGAAGCCTAGCAGCAATTAGAGAAATAGGATTTGTTTTATTTATTTAGTGCAAAGGCACAAGCTTTTTAATGAACAGAAAGTGATGCACTGTGAGAACAACAGGGGAAATGGAGAGAAGGACTTTGAAAGCTCTGAGCACTGCTCTCCTCTCTGCTGTTTCTCTTGTACATTTGCCCTCTCTGTTCCACTGTGGGAGCCATATGGCTTCCAACACTCCTCTAAGTAGCCACTGAGAATTGTCTGCAGTGGAATMGTGCCAAAGCCCTTCCTGGTTTAATGACATGGGGAAGAGCACTGAGCAGAGCTCACCAGCACAGAGACTCACGGTGTCCTTGATTGTGATCCTRGAGCCAGCCAGCAATGCTGGGAATTGAACCATCAGTGCCTCAAATACAGGAGTCGACATGTGCCAACCCCTGCTGCATTCAGCCTCTGTGCGTGGCATATTAATGAGACTTGWACTTGAGGGCCAACCTTCAAGCTGGCATAGAAGGAATTACCCAAAGACAAAAAAGAAAAAAGGTCCTCTCTTCATCCTGTTTCCCTCTAAGCTCGTCGTGTTACCAGTTTCCTCACTGAGTTGTCCAATCCTTTCTTTTTAGGCCATCCCATCTTACCTCTGCACACATAACCACAATTTCCCTTGATTTAAAGATTTGGAAAACTAGTTTAAAAGAARGCATGAAGACATGACAAAGAAACACATGAAGCCAAGAGGACAGACGACTCAGTGCTGACCCTGACTCTCACACCTTATCCTTAAATACCAAATGTTAGTCAGGATATGAAGCCAGGAGAAGCTTTCTTCTGCCTGCTTACAGGCAGCACGGATGTGTGGTCCCAGTCTCAGCCTGGGAAAGATGCTCAGTCTGGAAGCATCCCCAAACTCCCACACCAGCACAAAGGGGAGCTGCTGGGACTCCCTTGCTGCCTCTGGTGTCAAAAAAGAGCCCAGTTCCTGTTGGTGATGCACCACAACCCTTGGCCACATTACCCAGTTTAGAATTGTCCAAGTGTTATTTTATATRAATTGCCTGATTTAAATGAAATCCATGATCATCTATCTGTCAGCTGGAAAATCAGATTGAGGGAAGTTTTGCACCATTTCTTTTAGGCCTCACAAATGCCTGGTGCATAGTGAAGGCTGGCTCTTTTCTGAGAAACTATYTTTCTCCAGAAGCACATTTGGCAGCAGAGGCAGGATAGAGATGAAAAAAATGTCCCTACAGGAGGATGCTCTCTTTCTTCGGAAGGGGCTGCACCTCTGGAATGAGATTTGACAAGCCATGGAAGCTGTGTCCTGCTGCAAGTCTGTCCAAATGTTAGGGAAAGGGACAGCTTGCAGAGGGTGAGTAGAGCCAATGGTAAATGTAACTCTCCAGGACAACATGTTTCTCTGTGGTAAGAGGGAAGGACAACACATCAACGACCCCAAAACCACAGCCTGCAGCCTTCCTAGGCAAAGATAAAAGACTGAACAGGCCTGAAAATACACATACTGAATTTTACTTCTTTTAAGGAATTAAACAAATTAAGCTGTAGTGTTCAGGAAATCTCTTCACCTTTTGAACACTTTAGAAATGTAACTGATCAAAGCYTCCAACAATCCCTGATGAAAGCCTGTGGACAGCTCAGGGAGCTACAGAAGAAAGGTCACAASTATTGCCCAGTCCCAAAGGCTGTACTGGATCTACATGAACTGAATGATTCATTCGTCTGTGTCTCAGGATGCAAATTCACGTTTTCTTTTCCACAGGGAGGGTTCTGATTCCCCAGCTCCCTCAGTAGCAGCATGATGCCACAGCAGATAAAACACGTGGTGGCAGCTGACCACAGACAGTGACTCCAGCTCACCACTATCGCTCAGAGTTCCTGAGAACACCAGCAACACCTAAATCCCCCACCTCTTTCTCAAGTGTACTACAAAACTCATTGCAAATTCCTGCAAAGTAGCAAGAACAGATCTGAGTGCAGTCCCAGTGTTTTCCCAGTACAAGAAAGTCTCTCTGAAAGATGCTGTTTCTCCCTCAGCTTTTACTTAACAAAAATCAACAAAAACTCACTAATTTTCATGGGAACAAACATCACACAATGCTCTAATTATATCAGCAACCCTGAAATAAAACAGTATATAATCATTATTATCCTAAACCAATACATGACGCAGCAGCAATGGACTCCCATCCAATTAACTTGATATTATCAATGAAGTTCTCAAAATTATGCTGGCAAGTGCTACTGATACCAAAACCAAAAAGCATCATCAGTATATGAAAACACTCCTCAGGTCCCAAAATGGTAACCAAAAATGATATTCATTGTTTAGTGTTTTAAAACACAAAGATTTGTGTTTAAGGAAGGCAAGAGCTGTTTGAGTTGGCTGTGACTGAGAGGACAACAGGAATCTCCAGTGGGAGTTGCAGATTGGGTTTCCTTGGTCTTGCCTCTGTTTCAGCTTATCTGGGTTGGGTACCAAACCAAGACATTACATTTACAGTCTTGTGCTTTCAGACAAAAACATGCAGTAACCATCTTTACCATATTTAATAAAACAATAAACTTTGTGCTGACCTTTGGCAAGCGTTCGGGGTCACCAGGGTGCCGGGGGATAACCTTCTGTAACCTTTGGAAACCGTAGTCAATGGTGGGTTCGTTCAGAGCTGAAACAACAACAAACAGCAGCGTGAGGTGACAAAGGCACAGCAATGGACACAGGCACTGAGACACCACGGCAGCACCACAGCAAAATCCCCTTTCATGAGCTCAGCACTGACTGTGAAATCYTGGTTCAAACCCTACTTGAGGTTGGTCCTTTGACTTCAATCCAAAYCTTCCCACTCAGCTCCCCCAACAAAGCTGCTGGAAGATTTTGGGGATGTTGCATCCATCTTCCAAACAGGAAGCAATTATTTTCTCTAAAAGCCACAATGAAATCAATTTGATAAATACTTTATACTCCATGTTTCATGTTGGGTTTTTACTGATTTCATATTACAAGGAAGGTGATTGGAAGACAAAAGTAGCAACCATTCCAGAGCGTTTCTTGTTCCAGACTGGATTATACATTTAATATGCTCCATGTGCAAGGTTCATAAATAATTTTGTTTTGAAATACAGGCATTTGTCTTGGCAGAGGTTTTATTTTTTACTCATCRACACTGATTTAGGCTCCAATCAGCACTAAACTGATCCAAGAGACTTAAYAATTTTTAAAAAACAAGCCCATCAGTGGTTTGAGTTAATCTTTCCCTAGTCCTTGTCCGATAAAACTGAGGTGAGAAATGGTGAAAGTGGAACACTTTAATCTTCATGAAAATGCTGGTCTGTCTGCATTAATGGAAGCTCTGATYGTGTCAAGCCTTTAAGCACATGCTTATCTGTAAGCACATACTTAAACCCATTTGCTTTCAGCAAAGCAAATTTGAGCATATTATGTTTTTTATATGATTGCCTATAATTACAGGGGACTGCACTGAGTGACCTCCCAGCTATATTTCCAGTCATATGATCACTTTAAAACTCAGATGTTAGTGAGAYTTCAACATGTGCTTAGAATTTCCTAAGTGCTTTGGTGAACTGGAACAGTCAAGTATTCTCCAGCATCTCTAAACAACAGCACATCTTGACTCTCCCATGCCAATAGAGATGTGGAAAATTTCTACAGTAATTTCATTCGAATTTTTTGAGTTAAATGGGGAAAAAAAATCGATTCCAATGTTGATTTTTATATTTTCAGCCTTTTTTTTTTTTTTTCGGTGGAGAAAAAAAATGAAAAAAAATCGATTCCAATGTTGATTTTTATATTTTCAGCCTTTTTTTTTTTTTTTCGGTGGAGAAAAAAAATCGATTTTTGTCATTTTTTATCACTTTGAAGTTATTCTTTTTTTGTTCTAGCTTATCAATAGGAAAAAATATTTCTTGCAAGAAGTCTGCTAACTAATTTATGACTATATCATAGAGCTTTGTGAACCGGGATGGTTGGGCCCTTTTTTCCCACATTTCCTTTCACATCCTGGCCCATGCTGACCTCTCTGTTGTGTAATTTTGCAGAAAATACCACAGTACCTTGGTTTGTAACCCCCTGCTTTCATTACCTCTGAGTTTACTTACAAGGCTTCTTAGTTTAAGCATTCTTCAAATAAATTAATTTAGTGCTATTTATATTTATTATCAAAAATAGCTGTTCCCTGAGAAGATTACAAAAAAAAAAAATCCCTACAGTTTAAATTTACATTTCTTTTGCAAATATGTTCAAAGATTTTAGCGTGGTTCTGTCAAATGTGTTTCTCCTCTAATTCAGTCTAGTTTATGGCCACTTTCCCTTTAGATCCTTTGGGAAAGCAGTTACTAAATTCTGCAATATTATAAATGGAGGCCAGTTCTGAAATCCCTCCWGAGTTAGCAGTCATTTTCTCATACCTTCCTACACGTTCAACACATTTGAAATCCACAGAGTATTTCCTCTGAGTATTTTGTGAACTAAATGGCCAAAAAAAAAAATGTTAATTTTATGGTCCAATCTCACAAGGCATCAAGCATACTGAGAGATARCGAAAACTTTCTGCCTCAAATAACTTCAGCTTTACTTTAGTGGTGGGGAGAGGCTGCAGCAGCAATCTGCAGGATTGGGTCCTAAACTGCCCTCATCAAATACTCATAAGTGTATAACCTTTCAACTTTTCAATTTTTGCTAAAATTTAAAAAAAAAAATCTTTAGCTGTCTGAACATTTGACCACAGATTGGACAACATCAGCCCTCCATTTTTTGTTCATTTTCAACCCAAGTCCAATGTAATTAATCATCTCTCAAAGAAAGAGATCTGTTCATACATTTAACTCCACCTTCAGCTTTAGAACTGGACCAGCTGAGTGTCAGGACCCGAAAATCTCCAAAGAAAAGGGTTTTTTCTCATCCCCCAACAGTGCAAGGTCAGCTCCCTGCCAGCTTTTCCTCTGCCCCAGTATGAGTGACTGGGCTCTGTCCCTGGAGTCCATCCCCAAAAAGGCATTTCCCAGTCCTCTGATTCAAATAATAATTTTCTTCTCGTGATTGGAAAAAAGAATCAATCAGAAACACAAACTCTCTATTTGTGTTCTTGACATCCATACATTAAAAACAAGCTAACACATGTGGTACTTAAAATGCATTCCCATTACCTTATATTTTAAAAGTACTATTGAAAGTACTACTAACTTTAAAAAACTGTACTAAATTCAAATAGGTCCCAAGGCTAATGGAAGCAATTTGTATACCAACCCAAACTGACTGGCCCACTTTTCAAAATACAGGTATGATAATCTTGTGGTTTTAAAAGGACATTTAAATTGAAAGACTGTGAATTTAGTAYATAATTATACCAATAGAACCCTTTAACTTGTCAACTTGTAAATCTAAAAGGCTATCAATCATTTCTAAAGAGGAAATAAACCTTAAAATTCTTTGATTGACAGTGCTTATTTTTTATGTGGGGAAAAAAAAAAGGAGTAAAGTGGCCAGAAATCCATTTACAAAAGTACATTGTTTTACATAGGTGAGTAAAAAGCCAATAATTACACCTCCAAAAGACATATAAATCAAGGTAAGTACTTTTCCCTCACTTACATATTTTAAGTTGCAGTAAACTTCAGGTAACTTTTTATTAAAATACTTTTCCAAATGCAAAGCTTATTGAAGCCATTAATAGAGCAGCATTTTCATTTGAGCTAATATAATCATTTTTGCAAATACAAGATTTAAGCCATTTTTCTCCTTCCAAACAATAAACTTTCAGCCTGTCTCTTGTGTGAATTAACTAAAATTACACCCAGGTGTACAAAATCTGTCTATCTATCCTAGTGTATGAGTTAAGGCACAATATTTATTATTCTTACCATTTTATGAATTACTTCTTAAACCCTTGAGGAAGAACTTTCTTTCAAATTAGACTGTAACAGAATAAGGCATGAAGCTCTTTATGCAGCAAGTCTAAAGCCATAACTCATAAAGTCTAAGGCTTTTAATCAAGAAAATGCGCAAGGTCTACAGAAATAAGGATGTGTACATTATATTCATCTTTTCAAAGTCCAACTTATTTTTCAACAAAAATGCTGGCTGCTTATGCCTCTGAGAAAAAAATGTTTCCATCATAACMATAATTTCAAATTCTGCACAAATAATTTTAATAACCACATGCAGATAATCCACCATCTTTAAAAGTTGGTTGTTTTTTTTTTTTTAACTAGTCAGTGGAGGGCTTTTTTTAATATTTCATTTAATGAATTCCTACTGTGTCAATAAAGCTTTGGCTGTTAATTGAATGACTGTCTGATGTATCTGAGAGAGGAATTTGTTTCTCTGGCCATGCTGCCAACTTACAGCAGAATGATCGACACTTAATATCAGCAATTAAAAGGAMCTGTTCAAATATCATATGGAATTCGTAGCTTGGGGTAGTGGAGGAGAGCCCTTCACCAAGGAAAACTCATTCAGCAAATGCAGAGAGTAATTGAATTAGACACATTTTAACATTATTATTCAAAGAAAAATAAACACACACTACATAGAAGCATTATRGAAATATTTCAGAATGTAAAACATATCCAGTTAATTTGTTTCCCATGCATTCATGGTTTCATTTACTCCTTTTCTTTTTCAGTCCTTGTTTCTTTTTCATTCTTCTTGACCCAAAACCAATGAGAAAGCAGCACTTAGACCCTATGAACTTCCCA